GGTTATGTTAGTTTCAGGTGTACAATACAGTGATTCATCATTTCTATACAGTACTCAGTGCTCATCACAATAAGTGTACTCTTAATCCCCTTGCATTTCTTTAGTTAAATTCATTCCTGAGGGGCGCCTGGGTGGCTCAGTCGTTAAGCCTCTGTCTTCGGCTCAGGTCATGATCCCAGGGTCCTGGGATCGAGTCCCCCATCGGGCTCCCTGCTCAGCGGGGAAGCCTGCTTCTCCCTCTCCAGCTCCCCCTGCTTGTGTTCCCTCTTTCACTGTCTCTCTCTGTCAAATAAATAAATAAACTTTAAAAAAAATTCATTCCTGAGTAGTCTGTTCCTTTTGATTCTGTTATAAAGTGTGATTATTTCCTTAATTTTGTGTTTGGAATGGTCACTGTTAATGATTTTTTTATATTTCGGTATATTGATCTTCTACCCTGCAACCTTGCTGAACTTGTTTATTAGTTCCAATAATTTTTGTGAATTCCTTAGGTTTTTTGCAGATGCAAGTTTATGTGATCTATGAATAGTTTTACTTCTTCCTTTCCAGTCTAGATGGCTTTTTATTTCTTTTTCTTGCCTAATTGACCTGGCTAAAATTTATAACACAGTTTTAAGTAGAAATGGCAAGCTTGGACATCCTTGGCCTATTCTAGATCTTTGAGGAAGATCATTCAGTCCTCACTGTTAAATATGATGTTAGCTGTGGGTTTTTTATAGATAGCCTTCATCAGATTGAGCAAGTTTCCTTTAGTTTGATGATTTTTTTTCCTTTATCATGAAAACGTGTTGGATTTTCTCAAATGCTTTTTCTGTAATCCATTAAGATGATATCATTTTGTCCTTTATTCTATAGATTAATTGATTTTTAGAAGTTAAACTAACCTGGCATTCCTGGGATCTCGCTTGATCCTGGTATATAATCCTTTTTATATATTGCTAGACTCAACTTGCTAATATTTCTTTGAGGATTTTTACATCTATATTCATAAGAGATAATGACCTGTTGTTTTCTTTCCTTGTGATGTCTTTTTGGGGGTATAATGACAAAACTAGTAATATCAGAATGATTTGGCAAGTGTTCCTTCCTCTTCTGTTTTTGAAAGACTTTTGAGAGATTGATATTAATTCTTCATGTATGATGGAATTCAGTGGTGAAGCCACCTGGACCTGAGCTTCTCTTGGTGGGAAGTTTTTTAATTACTAGTTCATTCACTTTGTTTGTTATAGATCTATTCTGATTTTCTATTTCTCCTTGAGTCAGTTTTGGTATTTATTTCTAAGAATTTGGCTATTTTATCCAATTATCTAATTTGTTGGCAAGCTCCCAAATATTGGTATCTATATTAAAATGTTTACTTCCTCAGGGTGCCCGGGTGGCTCAGTCGGTTAAGCATCTGACTTCGGCTCAGGTCATGATCCCAGGATTCTGGGATCGATCCCCGCATCGGGCTCCCTACTCAGTGGGGAGCCTGCTTCTCCCTCTCCCTCTGATGTTCCCCTGCTTGTGCTCTCTCTCTCTCTCTCTCTGGCTCTCTCTCTCAGATAAATAAATAAAGTCTTTTAAAAAAATATTTACTTCCTCTATTGGCTCTGTTAACTTAAACAGTGTTAGTGAAACTTAACGTTTTATTTTGTGAATTCTAGATCATTTCTCTTGACTTCCTGCTCTGTAAGCTGAGACTTCAGTGTTCCAACTTGCATCAGCTGTGCCTTACTTTTTCCATAGACAAGGATGAATATATATTCATTCTACTCTGTTACCATCATTAATTTTATTCATGCTTGGTCTATGAGTTAACTGTAACATTTGAAAACCAGTAGCATTTATGTCATAATTAACATACACATATTAGTCACCAAAGAGGCAAGTAAACATGCTAGGATTACATTTCCTTCTTCCAATGGATCCAGTGTCCTAATCTCTAGAGGTCTCTCAAAGAAGAATGTTCTCAGCACGGAGTTTCAAAGTCCTATCAAATTTCAGTTTGCTTCATATTTAGATGATGATTTTCTTGGATAGCTTTTAGTTCTTCCTAGAGTTTCTGAATGTCTTTTCCTTGTTCTTGGGAGAAGAAATAAATGCCCCCTCTGCCATTATCACTAATACTGCACACTTCTGATTTACTGTATGTATTGACTAGAATCCACTGTATCCCTCTCGAAAATGTTCTACCTAGAGCCCACTTATGTTCTGTTCTAAAATAGATGAATTGCACTCTAGCCATCCTGGGACTTATTTTCTTTATAGTCTAGTTAAGTACTATCATTTTTGG